CTCATACAACTCTTATCACAATCCATACACACATCAATTGTGTAAAGCGCATTTGTACATCATTCTCAAAACATTTTCTCTCCACTTAAACCCCCTGCATTAGGTCCTCATTTTTCCCCTCCCTCCCCGCTCCCCCTTCCTCATGAGAACTCACCTTCTTTGTAAGACTATTTACCACCTGCTTGATTCTCTATTCTTCCCTCCAATGTTAAACAAATCTTAATAGTTCTTTATATAAATAGAAAAAGGAAACTTGCCTATGTCTATATACACGTGTGCTTGTTCTTATTTCTTCCCTGTTTACACAAGCTATATACGATGCACAATTAGGTGTCTTGCTGTTTTTGATTAAAAAAAAATGTTTTAGAGGTCTCTCATTTAAACAATAGAAAACTCCCACCCCCACTACAAATGGCTGTACAATCCGTTGTATGGGCATACAAATACTTGTTCCACTAGTTTCTGTCAGATTTTGGTATTTCAAAACATGAGTCCACTGAGTAACATGGACCTACATAGTTTCACACAGGTGAAAATGTGTCTGTAGAATGAGATTTTCATAGTCATAGCCAAATGAAAAAAAGAAATGGGAATTCTTGAATATGAGATTATAGCTTGATTGCTCTTGGTTATTATGATTTCAGATAACATTATATCTCTTAGCGTAATGTAATAGCTAATAGCTATGATCAGGGCAGGAGCCTCGGTGCCTCGTGTATTACGAGTTGGACTACTAACTGCAAGCTCAGCAGCTCAAAACTGCCCGCCATTCCTTGGGGGAAAGACGAGGCGTTCTATTCCCATGGAGAGTTCCCGTCTTGGATATCCACGGGGCAAATTGTTACTCTCTTGTGTAAGATCCCTAGAAGTGGACATTAACTCAGTCCACTGAGTTGTTATCAAGCCAAATTATTAATGTGGTCAAATGATTAGGATACGTGTATCTGTTTTATGCAAGAGTCGCTGGTGGCACAATGTTTCAGCCTTAGGCTGCTAGCTGAAAGGTTGGCAGTTCGAACCCCCTCAAGGTCTCTGTGAAATGGCTGGAGGTCCGCTCCATCGAGAGAACAGCAGGGAGACCCCCGAGGGTAGTTCTGTTCTGTCACATTAGGTCGCTTGCGTCAAAAAAACAACTCTGGTTTTTGGACTCTTAAAATTTGGAATCATCAGATAATCACAGGGTCATTTTATATATAATATTTAAAAGCAAATGGTAAATACAAAGTAAACTGTTATTTTATTAGGGGCATCATAGTTTTGATGTAATAATAATTCCTGTTACAGGTGGTAGCCAGTAGTCAAGTAATGACTGTGAATCTTAAAATGTCCTGTGTATGGACTGAATATTTCTAGAAAGAGGTAAAAGGGGAAGTGTTATCCTTTAAATACATATGTGTGTCTATAGTGTTTTAAGTAAAGGCTTACCAGTGGCTTGGTTCTCATTCAACAATTTTCATGTTCATTGACTTTTATTACTTTCATTACCAGGTGTGAATATTCTCCTTATTTCTGTTCTGAGACTTTTCCCATTGATATCGTTTCCTTGTCCCTTTACATCCTCACTTTGGTTTTAAAGTCACAGACTGTTGGATCTCATGTCGATGGTTTTATAAAGGAGCACGATACTCTGATATTCTTTTAAGTTGTGTTATTTTTGTACCTTAGTCATTGACAAATTGTGAATATGCATCGAGCAGTGGTCAGACTTAAATCCTTGACTGTGAACTCATGACTCTGGCCTTTGTGTACCATTGTTTATCACTTGGCTTAGTTCCTCGGTGTCTCTGGATGGCCGGCTGTTGGCTGCGGGGAGCTCTGAGACTTGCAAAGTGAAAATGATCCAGTGCAGTCTAGGCGTGAGGTGAGGGAGGGGAGGAGTGCTGAATGGATGTACGCAAAGCTGCTTCAACATGTTCAAATTTAGAAGTATGTTTAATTGAAAATTCAAGTGGCAGAGCAAAGAGCAGGTAAGATGTATCTGCGGTTAGCTGAGCCAGAACTGTCCTTATCTGAATCCAGTCTTTATGTCCGTCTCGGGGACTTGAGCTCTCCAACAGAAACACCGTCCACTTGCCATTTTGGATGAGGTAGGTGTGGGAATAATTTTACAAAGCAAAAGAATATTTAATCCAAAGAAAAGAAAACCAGGCATGTGACTGAGATACGGCTTTGAGAAAAAGCATGTGACTTTAGGAAAATAGGGGAATAAACTTTATTGAGATGGTTTTGCGACAAATAATGTAATACACATTGTTCTTAATTTTGTCATTTAATTGCTTCTTATTAGAGAAGTGACTATTATCTATTTTTACACTGGGAAACTGAGGCTTTGTCATTTAAGTAACTTTTTACTTGAATCTCCCAAGAAGACTATCCTACCTATAGCTAGCAAGTTTTGGGAAATTGCCCGTTAGTACTCTCACTTGTCCTGCTGGTGTGTCGCACGAGAGAAACATTCTCAGAAAAGGTCTGATTTTCTTATTTAGCAACTGTTTCTATGAATAATGTTGCTAAATTATTTTGGATTTGAAATTTTCTTATACCTAGGATTCGACATTGTACCTATTTGACTCTAAGTGTCCTTCAACCTTAGACTTTTCAGTGGTATAATTTCCCTACTAGATGAAACTGCTGGTGGTGTAGTGGGTTACATTTGGGGCTGCTAACCACAAGGTCAGCAGTTCAAAACCAGCAGCCACTTAGTAGGAAGA